TATTAGGGGAAGTTACATATTAGGAGTTTTCCAGAAGAAAAAAATACTACGTAATACATAACAGTAGGAATAAACTGAACCATAGCATGTCAACACAGCAGACAAAACCAAACTTCTAGTTATAGGAGCTATAACAGCAAATGCAATATCTTTCCTTCAGCACTGCAGTTACTTTTCACCACACAAAACCATCTTTATAATATTGTTACCCACTTCTCCTAAGTTTAATTGCTGCTTAACAAAAACAGAGTAGAAAGGAATCCACATGGATCAAGCTGAGAAAAAGGTGCAGATGTCCCTCCAACAAGAGTGCAGGACACGGCTAATTCATTCAATATTACACACTTTAGTTATATTTACAATAAAGAGCTAAGAGAATTTTCAGTGCATATCTCCTTCTATGTTTTACAGTACGCGTAATTATTCAACCTTTTATATGCAAAACGAAGTATATAGACCTTAGTAAAAATATAATGATATCACTCTTCTCAGTGAGATGCCTGTGAGGCATGAAGAGCTCCATACAACGTTTTAACTCAAGATTCTCAATCGAGCAACCATCCACCACCCCACAAGATTTCTAACCTGGAGGAAGATGGAGACGACAGGTGTGGCTACAACATAAATATACCAAGTTTTAATAATATAGTCACCATTATATCTTTATTAGAGTAGAAGTGCATCTAATCCATAGCTTATTATTAAGCTTCAAACTTCATCCTACAATGAGCTCTTGACATCCTACGAAGCTACGAAGCACTATTAACCATCAACTCACTTTATTACAAGTATAGCACCATGTTTGGATAGCTATATTACCCAAGCAAAGTATTGTAAATCCTTAACACTTCTAAACAAGAAACGGACAATTAAGCTCTAGGCATTAACACTACCAAAATCGTCCGTTTTTGCTTTTAAAACTATCCCCTTACACATTTTCATATCCCAACAACATTAAGCTGACAATTTACCTCTACAACCAAATGAACTCCTTTATCATATATATACATATAATCCTTACAGCAATCATTCTAACAGAATTGATCACACTCAATGTAGTTCCCTGAATGCAACATTCGTCAATTCATCAAGCTTTTTCATGAATGCAACAGTATTTATCTCATCATGTCCTTCCCCAAACACAGTAGCTATATACATTTCGCCTTTTCTAACAAAACACTCGTTTATCTTGCAAGTTGCAACATAGCTCGAGAAAAAGCCAAGTGAGCGCCAAATACAGAAATTCACCTTCCATTCACATCATCTTGATTCAAACCACAACACAATCATTATAATTCCACTAATTTCCCATTCAATTGTTTAATTGTTAACAATTGCAAGCATCTGTCCATAATATGTACCAGATTACCAGTTTAGTCTTTAAGATGAATAATGTTACTGTCCATTCATTAAAAAAAAAAAAAAAAAAAAAAAAAGGGTAATTGTATGAAATAAACAATGGGTAAATTACAAATTAGAGGAATTAGTCTGTATTTAGCAAGAAATCAAGTAGAAAAGAAATTATTGGTAAAAATATAAAGATTTAAAAAAAAAAATCCAATGATAACCACTTAATGATTCATCATGCGAAAATCACTTTATAATAATTGCATCATCAAGAAAAACAAATAATAAGTCTTACAAAATACGTAGCAATAAAATAAAATGGAAATGAGATGAAGCTCAAAAACATGGAAATCCAGATCTAGCAAGATGAAAATGAGGAGGAGAGAGAGGAGAACCTGCAAAGCTTTGACGAAGCTTTTACTACGCTCCATGGAAGCTTCATCAAAGGTCATAGGATTAGGGAGAGCTTTAGGTTGCTCTACTTCCATATTTTCTCAGATTAAGTAAAAAAAAAAAAAAAAATGATGAAATCAGGTAGAATTAAACAATGGAAGAAACCCTGGGAAAGAAGAAATCACAGAAAGCATGAAATTGAAGATGATAAGAACATTAAATTGAGAAGATTGATTAAAAGAGGAAAGAATGTTTTTGCAATAAAATTTAGGTTTGGATGGTGGAGTTAGGAGGAGAGTGAAAGAGAAGCAATCCCCGGGAAAATGAAGGGAAGGTGAGCGTATTTAATATTAATGGGGTGATACAGATAGAGATGTGTGTTTATGAAGACGGTGGTGGATACTACTGTACTTGACTATCCTCTATTTTTAACCAACACTTTTATTACACTGTTATCCATTTTATTTCAATTATTTGGAATTTGCTTTATCCATTGGATTGGTTAAATCAAAATTTATTTGAAAGTGCCGGTTATGCAACAACATGTTATTTATTTGATTACAATGGGTAACTTTTAAATTTTAGATCTAACGTTTATTTATAACCCAAATGTCCACTTGAATTTTAAGGTTTTCATATGTATAGTACAACATTGATGTCATTCTTTCCTCTTCGAGAAATGCAAGACACTACATTTTTCACTAGGTTAAAACACTTGACTCAACTAAACGATTTTTATCTAGTTCATTTTTTAACATTAAAAAAAAACAACGAAATATAGAGCTTAACACTTAAAATATAAGATACGCCATAATACGTAGTGAACAATAAAGAATACCAAATGTCTATTCAATTTTTATTTTTATACCACTAGATTAATCACACTTTAAAAATATCAGTATGAGTATGATTTTCATAGTGCTACAATGCCTACAAAAGTACGAAGTACATCTAAATTAAGTCATTAACAATACAAAATTAACAATTTTCACCCACTTACACATACAAGTATGATATGTAAAAAATATAAAACATACAATTAAGTAAACTTTTTTTTTATATAGACATAGTGTGTTGTTTGTTTTATACTCCGTAATTGATTAAAAGAGAACATAGAATTCATTAACAATCATATTTTTTTTATCAAAGTTTGAAACATTGCTTCAGTTGGTGGTGGCTTGGTGCCCATCACCTGCTTCTGCTTCCAAATGTCAGTTGAGAGATATTCCCGTAGGCATGCTTTTACGAGCAAAAATCCAAGCATATACTGTACTATACATTCATCCAAGATTCCATTTTAACAATTGTAATATAGTACTCAGAGGAGGATTTCTAGGATTTTAGTAATTAGAGTCATATATATGACTCTAATAAGGGCATATTCGTCCATTCACTTATACTATACTTGGGGGAAAAAATGTCATAACACGCGTTGTTTCATTATACTTTAGATGGTATTATCGTGATACCAACAACTTTATTCAGTTATACCAATGAATGCAAAAATGTTTTGTTGGTATCGATATAATTTATTGTTGGTATCATGTGAAATACCAACGTTGGTTATTAGAGTCATGACTCTAATTACTACAATCCTAGAAATCCTCAGAGTGCATACTCCTGAATACATATTTGCCCATAACATAAATATCAGAGCCATACTATCACAATTCACAACAAGTGTACTAGTAGTTGCTAATCCTTGACTTTATCTCTTTGGTCTACCAAAAACCACTCATGAGAAACATTGTTCAACTCACTAAATTCAATCTTTTCTGTGTTGAAGAGTTCTACTCGGAAAGACGATCCAATGATGAAAGAAGCAATCCGATGACGCTCTAGGGAAGATTGAAGGAATGGAGTGTCTTGGCTCAGAAGGGTGTTGGAAGGACACTTTGGCGCTTACACAAGTCACTGATGCAATTTTTATTTCAAAAGGACGAAATAATGATACTTGTATATTTGTACGTTTTAATCATCATTTTTTCAATTGTGTGTCATGTTAATGCTAGAATCAATCACCTAATCTATACAGTACTAATTAATTAGTGTTTTAGGCCTATAATCACTCCTTTCTGATTTTGTTGATGAGGTAAAGATTACGATCAGTAAAAGTAATTATGAGGCGCAGATTGATCTCTCATCAACCACCATCCTTAAATCCTTAATTAATCAATACTAAAATGATGAAACACAATCACTTTTTAAAGATCTTTGTGGGACCCTCTGCCATGTGAAGCTCCACAAATGAATCCTTCATTTAAGGATCTTCATCAAATTGATTAGGTCGCATAAATCGTATGATGTTTCACAACTCAACTAGAATTAAGATATGATCATATAGCAAACTTGCTATTGGTACTTAAGCAAGTTGCTGGGCAATGTAACTTCTTCTACTGGCATTATTTCTACTCTCAGTCTCAAGCTCTACTTTAGAGTTTAGAGCGCTAACCTTTTTCAACCATCGCCTCTCTCATTCCTCGTACTGAACCACCATCGCCTCTCTCAATCCTCGTACTGAACATTAACGTAAGCAATAAACCAATATGGCTTCGCTCAATCCCGAGTAGCTACAAAGTAGTGATGTGAATAAGGTTTAATCCAGGTATTGAATACTACCCCAAAATACTTTACCTACGAATGTACTAAATTTCTTGACATCTACTACTAACAGCTAAGACCAAATCTTCTGACTTTTAATATAAGGTGATGTGGCCATAAAATTAAATAAAAAAAAAAAGAAAAAAGAAAAGAAGAGAAAAGAAAAAGGTCAGATACATTTCAGATACGTCTATGGCTCTACGCTGCTACGGCCACGGGTGTATAGCTTCTTAGTTCCTACCTCCAACCAGATGACACTAGATACCTCTTACCTGTTCCTTTTATTTGAAGTAAACACGTCTATATGATGTGAGAATTGTCTGGTACCTTCATAGCTCCACTAATCCATCAATAAGATCTCTCTTCAACTAAGAGCCTCAGAGGCCACATTTGTGAACTCATGAAGTCAAAACAAGGTCTTTGATATGAGCGGGCAGACCTAGTAGGACTGAACCAATGATAACCTCTATGTGGCTTAGTGGCTAAATGCCTACGAACTAGATCAAGTGGACAGGTTGATGTAATGAAAGAGTGGAAACTTTTAATAAAGGGATACAAGAAACAGAACTCACCAGTTCAAATCAGACTTCCATACTTGCATATCCCATTATGTTAACTGACAAGCAGAAATCTGCCCATAGCATAAATTGACAACAAAATGCAGCGAGAAGAAATTGAAATCTCAACTTTATATTTAAATATATACAAAATCTACAATGTTTACAAGACTATATCATGCTTAATTACATATGAGCAGGTGGTGAGGTCTTGAACATACTACAATTAATCAAGCTCCAGCATTCTGAAATGATTATTAGTATATAACATACAGGCGTATACTTTATCGTTCAAGAAGCATAAAGGCAACTATATGGCCCTCCGATGCTAAGGATGACCAAGCTCTAGGCATTCAAAACTAGCAAAATTTACTTTTTACCAGAAGGCTACGATCTCTGAGAAGTTTCTGCCTCATGTCTATGTGAAAGATCCAGGGCAGAATTCAAGTAATGACTTGCAGAAACCATTTCTCCCGCAAATGGGATGAGTTCTGTGGGTGAAGTGAGCTCAAAACAGGTTGGCTTTGGAGTTGTAGGGTAGCCAAGTGACAAGATTAACTCCTGGACAGAGAGTACCTGGAACTTGCGAGAGGTATTGAGGGCAATGTTGTCAACTTTGTGCTGATAGATCTTCCCATTCCTATCAAGCTTGTACTCTGAAAGGCCATCAAAACGACCACGGCTCTCCCACGGGACCCGTGGGATTCCATGGACAGTCCAACGAACCAAGATTACATTCTCCATAGGTTGCCACACACTCAGAATTTCAACCCACAAAGCTTTAAAAAATATTCTTCCATGGAATCGCAATGCCCAAAAAATTGATTTGTAGTTCTCAATGCCAGCAAAGGTATTCAGAGGATCTTTGAACACAATATCATCCCTAATAAGAATCCAAACAAGAATAAAAAAAGTCAAAACGTGATCAATGATGACACACACAATGGTAAACAGCACTGGTATGAGCTTTGAAAGCCTAAATACATCACTTTCTTTCCAAATCATTCTTGGCATTCATTAATGGAGATAATAATAATTATAAAAAGCCATAACTGCATAAGACACCATAATTCTTAAACATAACTACACCCCTCTGGCCCTGTTTTTCATCAGGACTTTCCTATCTTTTACTTAACCATGTTTCAAATTGACAACATTAGTAGCTAGCCATGCTACTAGTAACTACTAATATTACTTCGTGCGATTAATATACTACTCCGTTAAAGTATGTGCTACTATTGCTCAGTTTTAGCATTTCTTAGTTTCCATGTCTTATCAGCCAGAACAGTACAAAATCTACTACAGGGAGTGAAAACTTTGACAAGATGCCAAGTTGAAGATGCCTCACACTTCTACATATTGTACCATCTCATACTAGTTACAACGAGCTCACAGCTTCATATATATAAATAAATTCAAGCTCAGACCTCTAAAATTTAGTAAGTTGCATAACTTATCGATTATTTACCCTATTTTTCCTTTATAATTATATCAAAAAACATCGGAATCATCTCAATTCCTTCCATTTAACCAAACACATGCAAACATAGCTCCATCCTTTTCCCTTCTCTTTTCTTCCTCTATTCCTCTCCCTTCCCCTCCTTTACCACAGATTACATCAATGAAGCTATTATTACGGTTTCGCTTTTTGGGTGTTTTGCAAGGCATGTACAAAGGGATCAAATCAAAATACCTAGCAAAATTGATCATCATATTTTACATCCATTTCAATCCACATAATTATAAGCCAGTCATCATAACAATCAACTTCACGTCTTTAAACAAAAATCATTTCAATAAAAGATAACCAATTCAAAACAACAACAAATACCACTAAATTTCCAGCAATCAAACCAAATATCCAGAAAATTAGCAAGAACATTCAAGGGGTAATAAAAATTAGAGAGAATTATGTAGAATTACCTGTAAATATCAAAATTGGGCTCCCTGCAAAACAATTCAGGAAACTCCTCTCTTAAACAACGAATTGCATGACCCATATTGATATAATAATCTCGTTTCTGCTCATCTTCTTTCTTCTTCTTCGGGGAAGAAGACGACGTCGTAGAGCTGCTAATACTACTACTAGGCTTCACAGGAGCAGAAAATTGACCATGAACCCTAGCATTTGGTTCAGGGGTAGTAACTTTAGCACAAACCCTAAGCTTGAATCTGCAATTTCCATTGAAAATAGAGATATTGGGGGAATTGAAGATTTTAGGGTTAGGGTTTGAGAAGGTATTCGTTAATCCGGATATTGACATTGGAAAATGGGTGTTGAATTTTGTGAAGGAAAATGGGAATTGGAAGAAAGAAAGAGGAAGAAGAGAAAGAGAAGAGGTGTGTCAGTGTGTAAGCGTGGGAAAGATTGTGTGGATAAGATGATAAGTTTATGGGGATAATTGGGGTTGTGAGTTGTGACTATTGTGAGCACAAAGTTTGATTGATTATACTTTGAAAGAAAAGTATGACAAACTCAATTTCGTGTTGTTTGTTTTAAGTTGTATAGGATCGGAGGGAGGTAACGGTTTTGTACTCGTGATTTTACAATTATTTGATCAAATTTTACTATGATTAGTGGGAGGTAATGGTTTAACCCTCGGTAAAATATTACCGTCATTTGACTAAATTTTAGTAACGAATATTTTTCGGGTGAATAATTTGTCCTCGTGAGTTTACCGTCATACCCCCGTAAAAAATTAAACATTTGCTTTTAGATGTGAAGATAGAAGATAGCTATAAATATTTACTCACTTATCACTATAATTAGGGGTGTGCAAAAAAGGACTGAGATCGGAAACTGGACCGGGACCGGACCGAAATTGGATCGGACCGAACCGTTGGATTCCGGGCTGGTCTTCGATCCTCACAAATTGTTGATTCCGTGTTTCCGGTCCGGACCGAATGTATTTTTTTATTATTTCGTGGAAAAATTTAAATTTTATGTTTAAATTTCTAAAAAATTTAGGTATAAAACTTGTAATTTATACATTCTAGAAAAAATAGGAAAGTACGCAAACAAAAACAAGACGTTAAAAAATAATGTATATATTAAGATATTAAAATGCAAAAACCCTAGCCTCCTCTCTCTCTTCTCTCTCCTAAATTATAGCCTCCATTGTCAATTTTGAAGGGGCTTCCATCAGATTTCACCGGTAGAAAGCCTCAATCTTTATTTTCTCTTAAACTTTTTGTTTCTTATGTTATAATAATGTCTCCCTCGAAAGACAGGGTTTATCTCCTTCGAAAGACAAGGTTTTTTCGATCTCCTTCGAAAGACAAGGTTTTTTCGTTCTCCTTCGAAAGACAAGGTTTTTTCGATCTCCTTCGAAAGACAAGGTTTTTCAGACTCCTTCGAAAGACAAGGTTTTATTTGTGTTTAATTTGGTCTCCAATTGTGCGAGGCTACGATTGATTATGGCTCGGTTTCGGATTACAGAATCAACACAAGAATTTACTTTCTCACAAAATTGCGAAGCGACGACGGATCCACCCAAAAATTTGTATGAGACAACGAATCGAGAATGTGCCGAATTGTTATATTTATGTATTTGGATTCTTAGCCCTTCCCCGATTAATTCTTGTTTGATTTTGTTGAATACGTTTTCATTATCGTTAATTGTCAATTGTATATATCGTATGGCTTTAGTTAATGAAATAAAAAAGGACCGTATCGGAATATAAAGGTCTAGACCGGACCCTAGACCGGTTGATTACGGTACGGTCCACGATCCTCAAGAACAAGCGATTCCGGGTTTTGGTTCGGCCCGATTTTGAACCGGTGCACAGCCCTAACTATAATACTCCATATTTATCATTATTTGAACAGCATTTGCAAAAAAAAATTGCTTAAAATTTTATAAATTTGTCAAATAATTAGTATGTGTAATCTGAGTTGTTATCGGTGAGGGTTTGGGCATATGATTGTATATAACCATTTACTTAAACTACGATAATACTCCAATTCTATCTCCTACGAGACATTCATAAGCAAAAGTAATCTTGGCTCAATAGCACTTAATTGGTAGTGGAAACAAGGCAAACTCAACAATTAAAGACCAGCAAGAGAACAATCTACTACCCTTATGATTTGCAACAATACAACATAATGTTTTTTGTTTGCTAAAATGTTAATAGGTTGTGTAATGTGTATAGTCTCTAAGCACTTTATATTACATACTTTTACATTACACATATTTAAACCGAGGTAAAACTCAAAAATTATACTCCGTAACAATTAAGACATTGAAATGTGAAGAATCAAATCAAATATATTTCATAGTATTTTTTTTTTTTTATTATGTGTTCTTTCGAATATTCGAATAAATTAAAATGCCAAAGAAAAAAAATTCAGCTAGTCTATATGATCGTATGCTAGTCACAAGTTTAGCCACAACACTTCTGCCTTTCTGGAACTATCCTACATGTATAAAATAATAAAAGGGTCCACTTTGAAGATCTCACTAACCACTTAGGACATAATTCCATTTTGGTCATATGTATGACATGGGTAGTTTTCAAACACATAATTTTCCATTGATCAATTTGGCAAAATTTAAGTTTCTCTAGCCCCCCTTCGCCAAATGCTTTTGTTGCCATCCAATTATTAGAAAGTAAGTCCGAATTTATACATAGATTATGCTTTTAACTAAAAATAAAAGATCTCGTCAAAATAAATAAATAAAAGATAAAAAAAATGGAAAAAATCAATATAACATTTGAACATGCTCTTCATAGCTTCTACTTGATGCGAATGTTATTTCATTTTTTTCAAATGTAACCAAAAATTAATTTTATAACACTAAAATTGATTTGACACACCTTTATGTGAAAAAATATTGAAAACCGTGCTCTCAAAATGAGTGTGTCAAAATTAATTTTAAAAAAGAGAGTCATTTTAGTTTTTGAAAGGGACACCACAACTCTATGTCTTGGCTTCTATAGTACAATAGTATAAATATTTGCCAAATCATACTATCAAATAAGAAATTCATATGAATCATATCACTACTCAAGCCAAAAATAAACCAACCAAGCGATTTCAACTTGACACAATAAGAAAAATTATCATAAATAATGGAAATGTGTTTTTTGTGCAACAAGCCACATCGTGTGACCGCTTGTTAAAAAAAAAAAATGAAGAAGTAATTATTATAACACGGACAAAGTAACCCCTTTATTGTCAAAGTTTCTCCTTATTATACTTATTAGGTAACCCTTAAATAATAAAGTAATTCCTATAACATTGACAGATTACATCACTAAATAAGTAACCCTACAACCCTAACAAAGTAATCCATATTACACTAATTGACTAATTTTATGGTGGTTGACCATAAGGTACTTCCTCCGTTTCTATTTAGTTGATACGTTCAATTTAGGCACACATATTAAGGAGAGGAGAGAGAGAGAGAATGATAAAGCATGTGAGGTACACTAAAAAAGCAAGGTATAAAATTTACCCAAAAAGAAAATGTATCAACTAAAAATAAACTTTCAAAAAAGGAATACATGTCAACTAAAAAAATAAAAATAAAAAATGGAGGTAAGTATAAAACTTAGTTAAAATGGAAAACTCAAATCAATTAATTTTGAAGAAATTTTTATAATCCTATAAAACCTCAATTATTTATTAATTAATAAATATCGTTACTCCGTATGATTGTCTATATGGCTATATGCAAGTGAGGTGGGCCGTTATAGGGCTATAGGCTCAACACTTGACAAAAATTTAAGTGGGCCAAGGGCCAAGGCAAACTTTTCACTAAATTGGTCCAGTTCCTTATCATCCCCATTCCCCAAGACCCCAACTATAGCTTGACCAATTGAAAGAAAAAAGACCATTCCCGAATTGGGAATCCCAATAGCGTACTTTAGTTTCTCCGTACAGCAATTCTCTCCTCCGTCACTTCCGCCACTATTCAACCGCCGTCGGAGCCTCACCGTCACCGATCGCCGCCCGGTAGAAGAATGGATAACATTCCTTTACCATTAGATAAATTTAGTGTTTCCTCAAACAGGTAAGCATATACTAATTTTCAATTCTTTGTAATTGTTAAATTGTTAACATCTTGCTTGGGTTTGTGTTTGATCGGAAAATTATACTTTGGTTTCATTGATAATTGATATTAATCAAATGTTAGGCCTCAATTTTTGCAATTGTAATTAAGTCTATTGTATTCCCTTTCTCCAGAGAGAAGACGTCTGTGGTGTTAGTTGCAACTGGAAGTTATAATCCTCCCACTTATATGCACTTGCGAATGCTCGGTAATGTAATTTTCATCTTACTTTCTTATAATATCACATTTTTGTACTAATAATGTTAAATAATATGTATTGTTGTGATGTATTGGTTTAGAATTGGCAAGAGATGCTTTGAATTCAGAAGGTTATCATGTTATTGGAGGCTATTTATCACCCGTCAACGATGCATATAACAAGAGGGTATGCTTCATTTTCTTTGTTTTGGGTGATTATGTATCAATTTGGTATTGTATGTGCATTATGGGTCAATTTGGTGTTATATCATATGTATGTGCATTATAGGTTGTATCAAGCATGGACGTAAAAAAAAGACAAGTATCACAAATTTTATTGATAGATATAGGGATTCGAAAATGTTCGGCAAATGAAAATGAAGATTAGGATTTTGATTAGTTAGTAAGCATTTAGGGGTTTTAATAAAGAGTATTACATTGCTAATTTTAATACTAGACTATATTTGGCTTCTATTACTAAAAAGTGATGGAATACTGGTTTTACCTCAGAAAAGTACTCTATCAACTATTAAGCGCATCTTTTCTTGAGTGTATTCAAGATGTAGCGATATTGTGATGGACAAAATCAAATCGATGTAATTTCAATCTTGCTCATTAGTTTTAAGTGAAGTATTATTCAACAACATAAAGACTAGGGATGCAAAATTGCAAACAAGTTTTTGTGGGAATTGATTGTTAAAGAAATTGTATTTATTTTATTACTACTGTTGTAGTTAATATACGTGCAAAATGAAGTGAGATATTGCTTGTTTTTCTGTAGGGCCTTTTATCTGCTGAACATCGTATACAAATGTGTCAACTAGCCTGCAAAAGTTCAGACTTTATAATGGTAGATGCGTGGGAGGTAATATGCTGCTAGTTATTTTTGTAATGATTAAATATCCGACCTCTGAGCATTTTCTTTTCATGCATCCTTTGATGGAGGTGTGAGATAATAGTTAGATCTTAAAAGTACAATAAATCCAATAAGTCAGCAGAGATAGAACAAATATGAGCTAATGATAATTATTGCCTTCTCTGTAACATTGCAATTAGTAACTTGTTTGAGGCGGTTAAAACCCCATGGAACTCCTACCTTTGTTGATGGTAGTTCGATAAACTTCATTGTCCATTTGTAATTAACTTACAATGACAAAGTCCATATGCAAAGTTATTTACTAGAAGGTTATGTTGGTCAAATCAACTCCTGTGATTATATTTCTCCCAAACCACATTATTTCCCTTGTAAATTACTCTTCTACCATGAATATTACTAAATTTAATCATATTCCTCTCCCTTATGCTTCTTCTGATTCTTTCTCTTAGCAATATTACCCCACCCTGTTTTCCCTTATTTTGTGCTGAATGTTTAACAAGTTAAAAAGAAATGGAATTTTTTGCTTTTGTTAACCAAGTCGTGCTTGCATTATTTCCGTTGTTGCTCCCTATGATCCCCATCTTTGCAATAATAGGAAATCGTTTGCTTTTATCTTGAGATCGAGTTCTGTTTACATCATCCATTGTGGCTCCCCTATGACCCCCATCCCAGCCAGACAAAGAAAATTAATAAGTTGTGGTTATTCAGCACTAGGAACCCCATGGGACTTCTGTATTTCTCTGAACTAACTTAGGCAAATGATTTTGAGGTTTATATTTACTTTGTTGACTGGCAGTAGCTTGAAAGTGTCATTGCCTAAGACCCCAATAATTTTCCTGTGGCTGTAGATGTTACCATGGGGTATGTGAGGGAGAAGGATGACCTCTCAAGTCTCAACTGCCATGGGCAATTAATTGTTTCTGATGATATAAACCCTGCTACAGGCAAAACAATCTTCCTATCAACGAACACTGACGGTTTTAACTAGAGTGAAGAGTTTTTTATGCGAGAATGGTCTTGTTTCACCAGGTATAATTTCAATTCTTTTGCTTTCATGCATTCTGCATCAAGCAATTGGCACATCTTTTGATATGGATGACTTTTTTTGCTTATGCGTTGAATAAAAGGCAAATTAACATCTTAGCCTTTTCTATCCAGATTCCCTTCAGGTAATGCTTGTCTGCGGTTCTGATTTATTGGAGTCATTTGCCACTCCTGGTGTTTGGATACCAGAGCAGGTATCTTCTGAGGCAATTACAGTTAACTGAAATAGAGTGCAAGGCTACATTCTTGAATTTGATGTATTAGGATCAGTGTGTTTCAGACAAGCACCTTTTGTATGTAACCTTTTAGGCTTCAGCCATTGTGAATTTGTGACAAAGAGTTAATGCAATGTATAAATGATTTGGCTATGCTGACATGATTCTTGATTTCCAGGTCCAAGCTCTATGTAGAGACTTTGGCGTGGCTTGTATTCGCAGAGAAGGGAAAGATGTTGAAAAAATTATTCTAAGCAATGACATACTGAATGAGAACAAGGTATGTAGAACTTTGGACTTGTAGGTTGAACTATCAGATTTTGCAAAAGCCCTAGATAGGAATCACAGCTCCCTATTTCTATCGTCTAATTGTCTTGTTTGATAAGTTTTTTGTATTCATGAGCTTGATTTTTTTATTCCTTTTCTAAATATTTTTTCTGCAGAATAATATTAAGATTGTGGATGAACTCATCTCAAACCAAATTAGCTCAACTCGGATAAGGTGAGATAGTCACTGTCTCTTTGATTCATGGTAGACATTCATAAGAACAATAAGGATTCAATATCTTATGTTTGTCATGTTTTTAGGGACTGCATCACAAGAGGGTTGTCCGTGAAGTACCTAACAGCTGATGAAGTGATAGATTATATACGAAAACATAATCTTTATTTGCATTAATCAGATCTATGACTACAGATCTGCAATTGAAAACTGCTATATGGAGAAATGGTTCTTCAAAGAACCAAAGAGGAGGAAATGTAGGGGGCATAGGCTAATGGAACTACCAACTTTTCCTTCCTCTCATGATTGCGAACTTGTTCTACATGTAGCCGGACTTCAATTATAAACCACAAAGCAATATATTATTCTACCATCTTAATTTTAGGTCACATTGTATAACATGAATTGATGGTTTTCTGTTACTACCAAGTTAAATATAGAATGTTAGCCTTGTTATACAAGGCTGTTTATTTTCTAATGCTAGCATTAAACAAAAGTCTTGCATTATCGGTGATGCAGCAAAGAAAAAAACATGTGAGAGCACCTTAGAAAATTATGGCATTGTACATAAACAAACTACGACATTTTAACCAAGCATTTGAGATTTGTCTCCCATAGATATAGTAAGATATCCATCCATCCTCTCCTAGTTACCTTCCCTTACTCTACCGTTTTCTTACTTTTAATGACCATATGGGCTACAAAAATACTGATCGGTGTGAGGTGGCTCAGATGGACCGACTCCTTCACTTTCACTTGGTCCACCAATTCCAAGAGCCAAACTTGGGCCAATACTATCACCAATAGGGTATGTGTACAAGTCTTGACTTGTACTTATTGGTCCACAGCCTGTGCCAGATGAAGTACTAAACATAGCAGATTGAGGATGAACCCCAGCAAAAGAGGGCAAGACATTAGTGGGAAAAGCAATGTTCTCAAAACCGCGCCTAGGGACAGATGGATACAGCTCGTTCTCTCGGTACTTTTGGAGGTATATAGATAGCTGCTCAACATAGTGATCAAGCCCAAGCCTAGACATTGCCACAATAACATCTTCAGCTGTAATAGTCTTGCGGTGTTCCTGTTGACATCTCTCATTAGCCTCACTAGTGATGAAGCTGATGAACTCTGAAACACATTCCTGCAGCATCTCTTTGGCCCCGTCAGCCACCTTTGCATTGCTAGGAAGGACTCGCCTTATGATCCGGACCAAATTTGCAATTGACATGTAATGATCTTGTTCACGAAATGGAGGTACTGGGGCCTTAAATTTGGGAATTTTGGTCACATGATAGGTGTGTAGGTCAGGATTCATGTTGTTGCAAATGTTACCCTGGATTTGATGATTGTGTTCAGTGTGGTTTAGCATTGAGCTTTGGATGCTGTTGGTCATCCTGATATCGAGTCCACCGATATCACCTATCAATGGCATTGTACCTGAAAGTTATGATAAGTTAAATCGAAGTAAATGAACAAGCATCATAGATTCATATGTCAAGTCCTTAATGAAGCAGTGAGGCTCAAATTCTTTTTTGTGAGGCAGTTGCTCACAAAATTTGGACATATATGTCTCTTTTTGGTAGGAGGTGAATGGTATATTGGTATGTTGTTTAACGAAATGAATTAATAAGAAATGGGACAGTAAAATTGTTAGTTAAGCTCTTACTCATAAAGAAATACTAGCCTCTTCAAGAAAAATAACTACGGAGTAGCATTTTAAGGTTGTAAACAAAATAAACTTGGTATTGTGTTGTTAGATATTGACAACAAATATACCATTAATAGAATACTATAGTAGCACCCAAAAATAATAATAATAATAATAATAATAATAATAATAATGATAATAATAATAATAATAATAATAATAATAATAATAATAATAATAATAATAATATCAATATTTTACATAGACAAACAATAGTATATTAATGTTTTAACATGTTAATATGTACCTATCATCATTTTAAATTACAACCCTTGCGAAAATCAACTACTTGTAGAATGGAGTGTATGGTTGGGAGGAGGAAACAGACTTAGGTACAAACTGAATAACAAATATGAGTAAATAGGATGAAAGATATACATTATCTTTTGTTGGTATAGAGAGCCAATGAGCCACAAAGATTATAATAATATAGACTTGAAAACACATCTCAACTTTTAAATTGAAGAATTTTATACTTAGTATAAAACAAACGTTTCGATATAATCTTACATGTAAACACATTAAATTACATTAAAGTATAGCTAAAAAGTATGTTACGAGTATGTGTTTGTCGGAAAAAAGAAAGTAAGTGACCAAACTTAGCTTTAAGGGCATAAAAACAAGGGCATTCGAAAATTCCAAATACGAGTACATGTTTATTGGTCTGAAGTCAAGTTTCAAACATGATATCTTTTTTTTTTTTTTTTTTTTTGGACGCATATATTTTCTCTCCTTATAAAGTTTTTGTAACCAATTAATATTACCTGAAGAAGTTGATACAAATGATAATAATAGTGTTTTTTTAAATAACAAAAAGCGAGAATAGAAGATTGTTTTTTTAAATAAGCGAGAATAGAAGATCAATTATAACTTTTTTTAAATAATTAAAGATGAGGATAATAAAAAGCACGATAGCTTAATTTTGACTGTAACCCCTACTAAAAAAGTTGAAAAAGTTTTGTGTATGATATAAAATGTTTTTTTTTTTTTTTTTTTTTTTTTTTTTTTTTTTTTTTTTTAATGTAACGATATTCAAATTGCTAGAAGAGATTAACTTAAGTAAGATATTTTTTGCATACTATTGTGTGAGTTTATGTATGAGTGAATGTAATTGAAACACATATATTACCGGATTTTGCTAAGTATTCTATAGTGGTAACAATCACAATGGTCAGGATGTGTACCCTGATGAATGTTAAAAAACAGTTAGAGATAAAAGGTTGAAAAAAAATCAATTTTCATGAAGATGAATGCGTGAGATGTAAGAAAAACAAAAATGTGTCCTCTCATAGCAGGAAAAAGAAATTTAATTCAAGGCAAGATTGATTTACCCAGTGGTGCTACAAAATGAGGAGCATTTGTCGGGTCCATGTGTTGGTCAGGACTCCAATTCTCTTCAACATTTTGTTGAGAATTATTTAGATTTTCAAGAAATGATGAAAATAATAGAGGTTTAGCGTTTGATGGCATTTGTTGATTATTGGAATTATCCTCTTGCATCTCTCTAAATTTCCTTCTTTCTCTTTGAATTTTCTGCACTCAATATTCTCTACAAAAGTTTTTTTTTCTCTCTCTCTTTGTACAACAATATCATGTGATATTTTATATAGACATTTATAGATGGTGAGAAATGAACTTAAAATAACAGACAATTGACATCTTTAACAAGAAATCAATAATGTTACGAAGTATATAAAAAACATTCGGAGTGCACCATGATATTGTGATTTAGTCGTAAAATTAACTACTTCCGTAATTCTGTAATACTATAAATCTTAGGTATTAAGATTAAATTTGAGGTCACATGTATATTTGATGTCGCATAAGCTTTATTTACATGTGAATGCAATTGATTGGTGTAAACCACATAACATTCATCAAGTTATTTACAAGCAAGCTCACTTTGGTGATTAAATTCTACTTTGATAATTGGGAATTTGGGAGTATTTGTTAATTGGTGTTGTTAAACATGACTACTCGAGTATTTAATACAGTACAAAATATATGAACTATTGATTGACCAATCATGTGTTTATTGTGGCCCACTGAGGAAAGGCTAGAAGTGTGATTGTGCAATAATACAAATATGAAACTGAATTAGCCGTTGTAAATCCAAGTCGGCAAATAGCCGAATGTGCTCTGTTCAATTTTTGAGGCCAGCCCAATTAGTGAATCATTGAACTATGATGGGCCAATTCTTGGGCCCAACACAATTACTGGTTTGTTTTTGCTGAGCTTGCATATGATTTGTTTTTCTCACTTGGCAAATCTCATGCTTTATTGGCTCCTCACTTGTCAAAGTATGCTTATATAAACAATCATTTGAAAATTTCGATGCAAATGTCAAACAGCAATTAACAATGATAGTTTTATAAGATACGCGTAAATTTTTATATTGAACTCTTGTTATTAATAATTTTTACTACGTGAATTATTTTCTATGACGTAACAAACATACTACGTATTATAAACTTATATGACATTATAGTATATAGTTATAAAATGAATGTTTAGTACGAGTGCATTTTATATATTGTATGTATATATATAAAAATAATGTTGTGTAACACTTACAATATTATAAAGTCCAAATAAATTAGAAAATTATTCAAAATAGCTTTGGTAGAATTGATACAATATTATAAAGTCCAAATAAAAGCATGTTAATGACAATTGTTTTTTTTTAAAACTGCTTGTCACTGTTTTTTGAGTAAATTATAGATTTAACATATTCCTTATTCAATTTGTTTTCCACATAGCTTAAAGCCTTAAATACACTCTCCTTGAGAAAGTCAAATAAGATTTTCCACAAACAAGACAGTTTAAAGATCTTAGGCTTTAGGCAACGAAATTTCTACGCGTCTGATTCCATGTGATCATGTAAGGTGTGAATTTGAAAAGTACTGCAAGACTTTAATGGAGTACAAAATATCTTGATTATATTAACATATAATTGAATCCCACTCTCTTCACTTTTTTGGCCTTGCATGACTTTAGCTTGTAGCTTTGTGCGTTCATGAATATCATGATCAATTATCCTTTAATTCCGGTTATTTATAACTACCGTTAATTTGAGAAAGAAAAAAAAAAAAAAAAAAAACCGAATTGTCATGGTTTCTCCTCTTTTGAATGCTTTTTGAACAGATTAATGGTTTTCTTATTTTCTAACATTATTGATATTTTTGCTTGTTGCCTCGTTAGATATCATCTGGATGTTCTTTTTTCTTGAGTTAGTGTAGTTGCTTATTTGAGGGTTAAGTGTGTATAGAGCCGTTAGAGGTAGGTACACCGAGTGTATAAAAGACGGCATAAATCCTCAATGAAGCACAAATGGTGGAAATTAAACTAACACGGTGAGCCAGGAGTGACATTATAATCATGTAATTGAATACTTGTACTATAGAGTAATTAATCTCACTGAAAAAGTGAAAGCACTAGCCGAAAGCATCAATTAAGCAGCAGCAATTAGCCTAACATCTTGAAATCTTCAAAATCTTGATAAACAACAAAACCAATATTTCAAGTACCAAAATCCAAGTTCACGGAAGTAGCAGACCATCCGTGACAGGTGGGTACAAAAGCTTAAAGCTTAGCATTTCAGCCAGCAATAACTTTGCTGTTGATATTTTTCCTGTTACAATTGATAGTCTAATGCAAAAGAAATTCTCCTTCAAAGGTGGGTCCATATCCCATACTTTTCAATTTATCATCGTAAACACTTGGAATTTGCTGTCAATTTGCTAACACATCTTTTTTGTGGCTCTAATTGTATAAGCCAAAAGCTCTAGTCACCACTTCATAAATGAATATCAAACCACACTTGACAAAATGATTTTATTTGAACAACTAAAAGCATGTTAATCTCACACAGCCTAATAAACCAAACTAATAATGGTAGCAATTTATTCTTGATTTTTTCAGAAAATGACTCCCTCCCTACTTTATTTGCTTATTTCTTAACAAATTCCAATTTCATGTCATTTAGCATATAAACTCACAAAAGAAAATCTGCTTATGATACACGCAGCGTAAACCAGACTCAGAATCTGATATCTGAACAAGAGTTGTATAGCTTCCACCTGAATACCATATTACCTGCACGGCTGCACCTTTAACGTATTTGCTACTCAAAAATACCATAATATCTCATAATCATAGTCATACATACTAAGAAAGAATTATGAACGAACGAAGACATGTCCCCGAAACTAGCATCAGTTGAACAAGATGAAATTTCGATTTATGTAATATGCAGTAGTAACTAATACGGAGTACTGTTTTGATTCATGTAAAGCAGGATAGATAATAGATACATGAATTCGAAGTGAGATTCCTAAAAGTAGTGAATCATATAGGTGCTGCTGCAACAGCAGATAAATGAACAAAACCTCCATGTGAAATGTCGACAACAAAAACCTCGCATTATCCTTGAAGGAAAAGGAAAGCAAAACTTGACTGGAAATGGCATGAAGCCATCAACCATAAGGTTTAAACAGCAAGTGGTAAATGAAATTAACCATGGGTGTTGACAGCTTCCCAGAGCAAGTTCTTAGGCATCGGATTAGAAAGATCTCGAGCTTGAAGAGCTGCATCCCTAAGGGTCTTAAGGGTCGAAACATTAGCCTCCCAGAAAGACAGACTCCTATAAGGCAAATTGTGCTTCTTGCAAAGATCCTTCACCACAGGGGCAACCTTTCTGAGATTGCAACGAGGCAAACGAGGGAACAAATGATGCTCGAGCTGGAACTGTAGTCCACCAAACAACCAATCCATCCAAGACGCGCAAGCGATGTCAATCGATCCAAACGTCTGTTTCTCAAACCAATCATTCCCATGAGGCTGACCAACATACACATTGGCAGAGAAATGGTTCAAAGTAAACTGAATGTGCTGAAAAGCAGTAACCACGAAGCTGGCGAGCACGAACATGAACCTCTCTTCCCAACTAGGCAAGCAGGAAACAAGAAGAGGATACCAAGTCCAAAACACCATAATTCCCATTATGTTCAAACCCCTATTGATCACCTTCCTGTTAGGGTTAAACAACAGCAATAAGGTCTGCACATACAAATTAATCCTAGCAACAACCATCACAGGATAATATGTCATATGCTGATAACTCACAAGAAACCTTGCAACCGGATCAAAATCCATCTTCCTTCCATAGAAAACAGAGGTCATATTATTGAAAAACTTGGTCGACACCGCGAAAACCGGTATGTGTTGCAGATCTGGGTCATGATCTAAACTATTACAGGCAATGTGGTGTGCATTATGAGTCCATTTCCACCAAGCCATACTAATCCCAGTCAAACAATTCCCAGTCAAAATCTGAGCAACCTTATTATACTTAGGACTTGACATAATCTGATAATGCCCAGAATCATGCCCTAAATAAGCACTCTGAATCCAAGCCATACCCATCAATGCACCACAACCCAGATGCACAAGCACATTATCAGACCAAACCACACCATAAACACAAACACTTAACATTATAAAAATTGAAATAAAGATATAAATTACAGCATGCCCTTTCTTCTCAAATAAACCCATTTTAGTAAATTCATTATGAAGCTTTCTGTAATCCTTTGACATATCTGTAACCTCAAAATCCTTCAAATAATACCCATTAAAAAATTGATCAAGTTTATTCCATGTAGTACCTGGGTGATATGCTATGAATGCATCTGTAACATCATTACCAGCAAGTGCTAACAATGGTATATCTCCACCTGGATGATCTTTTGCCCAATTTGTAACATCATAAACTTTCCCTTGAATTGAAATCCATAGATCTCCTGCTTTGTTGTGATTCTTCAGTTCATCAGATGTGATGTATTTCTTTGCTTCCGCCATTGTTAAACAAACAATGCAAGATCAAATCTTTACCAGTTTTTCACCCTACCCAGAAAAATTACAGGTTTTCACGAATTTGAGGATGTGGGTATTGCACAAATTAATCAAATTAACCAAAATAAAGCAACCCCGTTAAATGGGTTGGTTTTCTTTAAATTAAATTTGAATTTATTTCAATTTTTTTTGGATTAGAGATATAATTTCTGGGTTTACAATGAGAGAGGAAGAAGATGAGGATGTGAGCAGAGCAGCGAGGCAGGAGGAAGGGAAAGGGTTGGAGACTTGGAGTTAGCCTGTGAGTAGGAGTATATACCGTTTTTAAAAGGGATATATCTATTTATTTGTGGTGCAAATATATCAACAATATTAAAAAAAAAAAAAAAAAACAGTAATGAGCTGTAAATAAAAAATTGTAAAATTATTTTATTTTTTTTTTTTGGTATTCCACCCTGCTCACCCTTTGAGCTAATCTATATTCGGAAATCAGTTGTTCTCCTTACCGAGTGCAGTTCCAATTACCACTATACCAACAGTCAATTAGTAAAAATAATATATAAAAAATAAAATAAAATAAAATTGGTATGAATGTGAAAGGAGTTGGCAAAAGCCAAAAGAAGAGATTATGACTTATGAGTCACGAAGTAATGACCTCAGAAAAAGGACAAGAATAATGCAAAAATTGGATGGTTGGTTTCTAAGGATTTTGAAAAGGTGCGGACTCAGTATAACGTTTTTGTTGATATATTCTTGGCCTACTAAGATTGATTTCGGGTTGTCTTCTTCTAACATTCGAGGAACCTACATACCTAACTAAGCTTAACGAGTCTTAACTGCCTTGCCTTATCACGGAGAAAACAAATATCTTTAAAGTACTTTGTATGAAAGAAGCCAGCCTTACGAAATTACAACCAATGGAGTAATTTGTGTGGTAAAATTTAAAGAGCAATTCTGTAAAGGCAGTAAATATAAGAAGTTCGTCCTTTTTTGGAATGGAAAAAAAAATATAAAGTTCGTGTTCATCCCATCATCTTACGGAGTACATTGAATTGTTGAAGGTGTATTAATATAATTCGTTTCATGTCTAAAGTGTGTTTTATTTATTTGATTTTCATTCCTGTGATCTAATATGAACTTATTATATCTAATTATAATTATTTTTCACTATATCATATCATATCTAAACTTTTTTTTTTCATATCTTATTACGACTAATAGGATTTAATTTAATTGTTAATTTAAACTTATCTTATCTCAATTCATCTAATATAATATGTATTTCAATCTATACTAAAAGTCATCTGGTGAAATTTCGCTCTTAATTGCATGTATGATGTGTAATTAAATCAATAGCCAAGTATAGTCAATGTGATTATTGTTTCGGGTGAAAATAATGGGACCTTGCCGAAGGTCCGATGAAGTGGTGAAGACTAGATTCGATCCAAGAAATGTTGGGCCGAAGGTTTCCTGCACAGTAAACACACGTAAACTAGCCTCGGGGGTGTTGCCGAGGAAGGCCCCTCTGATGCTAAAGTCAGTACAGTGTGTAGAAAGAGAACACTATGCAAGAGAATTAGTTGCTTGAGGCTTTACTTGAATGAATGTACAAATGTAATATTGATGGCTTTTATACCTCTTCATACATGGAGAAGTTGGGCCTTAGCCCAATTGGCTTGCCTTGAGGGCTGATTTTTGACTTTAGCACAATTGGAGAGATGAACCTTGACCTTGGGCTTTTAATTGGATCATTTAATGCCTAAGCCCAATTGGACTAAATTGGACCCAAACAACTTGCCCCCCAGACCCGATTTGGAAGGATGACGGGTCGGGTTTGATTTAATCAGAAAAGGAGGGAAGTGAATGATTTAATTAACCCAAAAATTTGAATTTAAACCGTAATTAATGAGATAACAACGGTTAAGGCGGATGATTATGGAAGTTGGACGGATAATGGGCAGTTTAATCGCAAGGTCGTGTGTTTAACGGTTACTTAGTGGGGTATTTAAGAGAAATTGAAACGCGGACTCCCCGTATTCCCATTTCTGGAGATATAATAAGAGGCGCGTCATCTCTCCTCACTTATTCACCAACACAAACCCAGAATTCTCGAGAGAACCCAAGAACCCGCATCAAAACTTCGCAAATTCCCCGAGCATTAAGCTTAGAAACTGAGACTTGCCACTACGAATTCGTAAATCGGCAACTTTCGCTTCAGATTAAGGTAAATTCCTTTGATTTTAGTTTATTTTTCTTCGAATTCGAACTCCTTCCCTTTTTTTCGACTTTTTTCTTCGAAATTATCAATGGCGAGAGGAGTTAGGGGTAGAGCCCGTGCTCCAAGAAGAGCAAGGCCAATTCCCGATCCTCGGAACAGGATTGGGACCTGGAACGGACAAAGAGGAGAGTCCGACCCTGCTGAAGGGATTAGGGCGACTCCGATTTCCTCGGATCCTCCTCAGAGAACGGAGGGGCCGAGCGCTTCTGGGCGGGACGATGAAGTTCCCGCTGTCCTTTGGGATATCCTCCCCGGGTTTTCAGAGTGGGAGGATGCCGAAGTAGCTTCGGCCATGATAAAGAACCGCCCCTACTCATGGTGGGTGGAAAATGTCGAACAGTATCGGTTTGCCGAACAAATTGAGTTGCATTACGGCATCCTTGAAGCTGATGGGTATTGGTGCCGAATGCCCGTGGCATCCGATAGAATCCACCGTCCACCCCCGGGGTATGTGGGGGTGTACACAAGACAACTTCAGTATGGGCTGAGGTTCCCTTTGGACGTATTCGTCCGAGAATTGCTGATCCATTACAATATTTCCCTATGTCAGCTAACTCCCACTAGCATCCGAAGGGTGATGACATACTTATGGGTCTGCAAGTTCTTTAGGTATGTGCCGAACCTGCACTGCTTCAAAAAGCTCCATCGGCTAGTGCCAAATATTCAAAGTGGGCACGGAAGTCATGGTTCTGGGTGGTACCGGATTGAGTCTCGGCCCCAGTACCTAACCATGTGGCCGAACGACTCTTCAGACAAGGACTGGAGAGGTCAATGGATTTGGGTTAGGGCACCCACGGACCCGGGCCACCCTTGCGTCTTCAGCGCTCCCCGATACCTTGCTGAGCCTGATCTCGACATGGGAAGTTTAGGTCCCCCCGCAGATAACGGCTCAGATCCAAACCTTAATCAACAAAATATCTTCGGCAAGCTGCCAAACCGGGGGGGGGGGGCAGCGGCCGAATGCAGCATATCCCGGAGACTTGGCTCCCCGATACGCATTATGTTTTCCAAGAGAACATGCTAGCAGCTGTCGGCCTCAGCCGAAAGTTTAAGGATGGTAAGCTTCTTCGGCTGGGGCCGAGGCTTTTTAATTATCTCTTTTTCTCCTCTCACTTCGCTTTTTTATGTTGTGCCAACCTAACTGAACTGACTTTTCCCCTTTTCTTTTTCAGAGCGGGACGAGACCAACGTCGGCATTAACTACGCTCGTCTTGGCGTCAACCGAGAACGAGTTGTAACTGATCGGGCCCCCTCTATCACTGAACCGAGGCATAGGGAAGTTCATCTAGACTCTTTCCACTTCCAAATTGAGGTTGTTGCTCTGTATCAGAGGCAGAAGCCTTGGTGGAAGAAGAGAGATCCCTGGTTTCAGCTGCTGGACGAAGAAGCTGAAGCTGCCCGTACGGCCGAAGAGGTTGCACGGGTTATTGAAGCTTGTGAAGGAGGAGAAGGGTCCTCCAGGGCTGCTGAAGAAAAAGCTGCAGCTAGGGCAGCTGAAGAAGACGAGGCTTTGCTGAAGACCTCGGTGAGCTTTCAGACTTAACTTTGTCTGTTTCTGTTTTTTTTTTTTTTTTTTTTTTGTACTCACATTCTTCCTCCCCCCTGTCTTTTACAGTCTGAAGAGAGTAACAGACACAGAGAAGGGAAAGCCCATGTTCGTCCCGAAGACCAGATACAAGAAGAGTCTTCAGACTCAGACATGGACGAGCAGCCGCTTCAGAAAAGGCGCCGAAGAATGGCCATCATCGGCCCGCATGACTTTCAGCGGGCGATGACCATCGGCGTTGAAATAAGGGAACCCGAGGAAGGCAATGGATCGCCGAGGGTTCCCCGGCCACCACCTCAATCACCTCCAAAGACCCCTCCGCCACCTCCTGAGATGGAGGTGGATCAGAAAACTCCCGAATCTAAGGGAGGGGTCCAAGAAGAAGTTCAGGAGAGTGCTGCTGAGCACAAGAATGAGGATGCCGTGATGCCCAGTGCTGAGGGTTTCACGGCAGACATTGCAAGAGAGGTTGAGGCTTTCGTCCTCACCCCTGAAGAAGAAGAGGTCATAATAATTGACTCTTCTGAGAAGGAGGATGCTGAGCCATCCAAAGTTAAAGAAGCTCCGTCGTCATCCTTTCCTTCCTTCCAGACTCTTCAATCTGGAGAAATGGGTTTCTCGGCCCCCCGAATTCCAATCCCAGATCACATCTGGGACCTCATATGGGGTCAGAACCGAGAAGGTGTTGCAGCCTACTTCGGCAATTTTGCTGGCACGTCCGAAGTAGATAGGGCAAGAATCTGGTCGCTGAAGGCCACTGCTGGGATGGGCCAATCCAGCAGATCAGTTCTTGACCCAGCCAGGTCTAACCAACTGCTGATGATGTAGGTGATTTTCCTTTCCTTTATCTCCTCTAAAATTCAGCTCCATTTTTTATTTTTTTTATTTTAACTTGTGCTCCTGTTTTCAATTCGTGCACAATCAGACTCTCACTGTAGAGCTGATAGATACCCTACAAGATAGGGTAGACGCTGCCGAGCACGACAAAAAGGTAGCCGAAGAGGAGTTAAAGCTTGCTAAGCTGAAGCAAGCAGCAGCTGAAGAGAAGCAGCAGAAGGGTGAGGAATACGAGAAAAAAGCTGCTAAAGCCTTCAAAACCTTCTGCGACGCTATGGAGAAGGAAGTTTTTCCCCCACTGATGGAAGGGGAAAAATTCCTCCAAGAGCACATGGGAGTGGACATCTCCAAATTCAAGGCTACCATTGAGAGCCGAATCTAGGAGGGAGCTGCTGCACAAGCTGAAGTGCAGCAACGGCTAGAAGCTCTTGAAGCCAGCAGAATGACTGCTGAAGATATGCTCCAAGCCAGGGATGTCCAACTCTCAGAGGCTGCTGCTGCTGCTGAAGCTCAGAGAGCTAAGCTCCAAGAAGTTGAGGATCAGCTGATGGCCAAAAAGGAAGAAGTGGCCCAGGCTCAGACAGAGGCTTCCCAAGTTCAGCAGGAGCTGAATGAGCTGAAAGGTTCCTCCTCCAAGCTCGCCGATGAGCTGAAGAAATCCAAGGAAGACTTGGAGGAGACCCAG